GTGGTTCCCGTATTGGTTTTGTTTTTGGTCAGTCACTTGATAACTGAGTAGGTGTGGCATGTTATTATGTTTTGACTCCCAAGCAAAAACATCACTAATTGCTTTTAAGCCACTGTAACAGCAACTGTTGTTGCAACATCATAAACTACAAAGGCAACAACATTACAGAATCCAACAACAATTCTGCAGCATCACAAGCCATGAACTTTTATTTGTTAAAGTGTCGAGTCAGCAGTTGAAAATACTTAAGGACAAGGCGTGGTTGCTGCCAGTCGAAAGGAATTAATTGCATATTTTACGGCTGTAAACATCAACTTTTAATAGTTTTATTTAATTCATCCATTTCACACCACCTAAACACGTAATTTGCTGCTTCACATTTGCAAATACGACAGGCCGAAAGAAAGGAAATCAGAAGTGAAAAGTCTTAAATATCGCAATTGCAAGACAAAATATATTCCTATATTTAACTATAACTCACTGAGGTACTCTTTACTAGGTTCAACTTAGTAGGTTTATTTTAGTAAGAATAGTTATCTTATGTGTTTTGTTGATGTATCCAAGTTTCTGTGATCATTTTATAACAATGTCGACTGTGTTTCAGATTTAAGTCAAATACAATATAATGTTATATAATTGAATTGTACGATTCTTCTCATCAAAAAATAAAATCACTAATCTAAGATTAGTATAGTAAGATTAAGATTAGTAAGATTAGATTACATTCATTTAATTTTACTTTTAGTTGAAAGCTGTAATATCCTTATTGCATTAAAATGATTTTTAATTAATAGCCAAATACAAATATATATATATATATATATAATATATCACATACATATATTCATAGTCACTTATTGATATATTTTAGAAAACGTATATGTTCTATCCTTTCTCTTATGCTTAAGAGTTATATTTCAAGCTAATTGGAGTATAACATCTAGCAGGCACTCTAACCTCTCCAATAACTAAAAAATTTTATAAGGAATACTCCACATAATAAATTTTGTTAATGAATACTGCTGAACAATTATGTTTTGCTTTTACTTCATCTTTTGCTCATTTGTATCTAAATTGCATCTTAAGACACATATGATAATAAGAGTATCGTGTATCGAAAAATAATGCGATTAGTTCTTCGTTTGGTAATGTAGTCGACGTACTCGATTATAAAAGAACTGATCTTTAGTATGTAATGTGATTCTAAGAAATGCCGACCTACAAAAGCTGATCAAGTAATTGTAATAACTCAATATCGACTCAATATCGATATATTCACACTTGTCTATAAGCTCACATAGAGCATATGTAAGACCATATATAAGAACATTTAAATGGCACAACTTGTA